ACACTGTAAATCGAAAACGACGCATCTATACATATATGTTTACATGAACTTTTTTTTTTAAAGGACTTTTAGTACAAGTTGTGAAAGTACTGCTACAAAAAACGAGGACACCCTGTATAATGGGATAAAAAAACATCTATTGATGGTATTTTAGAATTTACACTTTGAAAAGGCGATTTTGGCTTTAATGTCAATGATCTAAGTTTCCTAACCTAATTGTATGACATCAACTGGAAAAGTACTGGATACCACAATCTGTCCTCTAAAAAAAACAATATTCCCACATCTCCAAAGAGATCCGCAGAACTGATAGGATCAAATCCGGCCTATATACGTAAGTTGATGGACGTGTCGCGACCTTGCAGCCTCGAAACTTTTTTATTCCCTTGTAAGTCGAGTTTCCATCGGCAATTCAACACTCCGGGTGTGATTCACAACTAAAAATTGATATTATGCCACGAGCCGGTATCATGGAATAACTGATTTCGGTGTCTCCATTTGGCAATCCACGTGGGAGAGTCAGCTGGGAAGTGGACTGATCGTAGGAGGCGAACTTTTCAAAGTTAACGGAATCCCTGGGTACATATATGAAGAAAACAACTTTTAAATTTGATACGTCACTTAATAGCGTTCGACGACGTAGCCGCAACAATTAATTTTTATTAGCAATAACGCTGGATAGAGACGCGAGCCGCCTCTCACCGCCGTTTATAAGGAAATAAAATTAATTTCGTTTTTCTAGAAATTAATTTGCAATGCCTTATGGGATTGCGGATAAGGTTCTCATTCGATGCCGTTGATGTAAACTAATTAAAAATAAAATGTTGCTTTTATGTGTCTAACAGAGTAAACAACGTTTTTACCTCTGTTTCCAGTCTCGTGAGGAATCTAAGAGAGGTCAACGGATAAGCTTATCTTAAGGCGTAGATGTATTGTCCTGTGAAATGGAATGCTGTAAAATTATAACAGTTAAAATGGGTTATTCGTTGTGGAATTCCAATTGTTATGTGAATTTATTACTCTGCAAGTGTTTAGAATGATGTTCTGCAATAATAATTTACGTTCAAGAGCGGAAAGTGGTATTTCATAGATGGTTTTCGTTCTTCACGGATTTTTGCTGACCGCAATCTTTTTGTTTATATATTATTATGTTTTTGTGGACGCCTTTATTTTTTTATGTTGTTTTGTTGTTATTGATATTGTTATATGGGACTCTCTCAGCGTGTGGGTTTCTTTTTTATTTTATTTTTATTTTGATTAAAATTTTATATGTTGATATGTTACTCTAATTTCTCTAAATGAAAGATATGTTTAAGTTACACAATATCGATATATTACAGGATTTTACTGGTCATGGGATTGTTTACAATTTACAAATGTTATACTCCTTATACTAAATTAATTAAACAAGAAATTTCCCCCCTAAATTCTACTGTTACAGTGCATAATGATTTTTTTATACTGTAAGTAGTTCAGTTGATTAACAATGGAATTATTATTCACGACAATTCACCACCAAGATGGCTTGATAAGTATACTGTTTTCACTACTTTGTTGGTTTTAATTGATAACAATTATTTTTTCTATGAGCAAACTAGCGATGTTACTGCTACAGGTAAACATGGAAGACTGGCTACCTCGAGCCCGGAGATTACTTTTAAGAAACGTGAAAAACAAGTGACAATTACTATGGCAACAATAACCAACATTTTTGAAATTTTATTTATGCAAATACTGATTTATGATGCATGAAATTTACATTTTCAGCTTCCTTGCATTTTTTTGCATCTTTTGATACCAATTGCACGTTTCTGGATTAAGTTAAAAGTTATGCCAAAATTTTACTTACATTTACAAATTTGTCTGTCCTTTCACTGTCTTTAGTACAACCTTTTTAACACCTTTCATACAGTCTTTACTCGTTTTTCAGATGTAAACGAAAGAAAATTTCAAAGTACTCCGATCTGTCAAGTACCTAATATAAAGTTTGCACAACAATTTGAACTTTGGTTGGAGTTTAAACACAGTTTATGAAGTTATGAGGGTCTTTTACATTCTGCACATATGATTTTGCAGTCCTAATACACCTTTACAATTAAAAATTTACAAATTCTAACGGAACAACAAATGTCAACATTTATATGATACATAAAAGTTTCCACAGATGCATAGGTTTAATTCCACACATACATTCTGGTTACAGGTACACTATGCTTTGTTTACATTCCAGTTTTATTGCATGAATCAATATTTTACATGTGAAAAACCTTCGTCGATGACTTGTCAAAATTTCACTATATTATTAAATGTGCTCATGCCAGAACTTACAATGAATATGCAAATTCACTTTTTGTCATAANATTAAAATTTTATATGTTGATTTGTTACTCTAATTTCTCTAAATGAAAGGTATGTTTAAGTTACACAATATCGATATATTACAGGATTTTACTGGTCATGGGATTGTTTACAATTTACAAATGTTATACTCCTTATACTAAATTAATCATACAAGAAATTTCCCCCCTAAATTCTACTGTTACAGTGCATAATGATTTTTTATACTGTAAGTAGTTCAGTTGATTAACAATGGAATTGTGCATTTATTACACATAAATGCAGTGAAAATTTTTAATGTAGAAATTTATATAGCGCTTTAGTTGTAAAATTTGCAAAGTTTAGCTAATTGTCGACACTTACGAACGTAGATTTGTTGCTGGTTATTTAATTTACATGTAACCTCGCTTCACTTTAAATTCTCCTTCACGTAGTCGCGCTGTTCTGACGTTCCTCGTAGAAATGACGTCTAGCCACGGAGATTGCCGAATATACCTTGTAGGTTTCTTTTACAAAAATTTTTCCAGATGAAACTGCACTGCACTATTTTTTTTATGGATTTCACTTAACACTTTTTATTTATGCTCGTTAACCTAGTTTCAGTTTGGTGTTTTCAAATAACTTGTGTTGATGTTATTGAATGACTTTTCGAACTTTTGTCACTTCTACTAATGTGACTTTCTGACTTCTGACAGTTATATCTATTCACGACAATTCACCACCAAGATGGCTTGATAAGTATACTGTTTTCACTACCTTGATGATTTTATTTGATAGCAATTGTTTTTTCTAGGAGCAAACGAGCGATGTTATTGCTACAGGTAAACATGGAAGACTGGCTACCTCGAGCCCGGAGATTACTTTTAAGAAACGTGAAAAACAAGTGAAAATTACTATAGCAACAATAACCAACATTTTTGAAATTATACTTATGCAAATACTGATTTTTGGACTGATTTATGATGCATAAAATTTACATTTTCAGCTTCCTTGCATTTTTTTGAATCTTTTGATACCAATTGCACGTTTCTGGATTAATTTAAAAGTTATGCCAAAATTTTACTTACATTTACAAATTTCAACTAAATTTTGATAAATAGATTAATTCTCAGCATGTCTGTTCTTTCACTGTCTTGAGTACAACCTTTTTAACACCTTTCATACAGTCTTTACTCGTTTTTCAAATGCAAACGAAAGAAAATTTCAACGTACTCCGATCTGTCAAGTAATATAAAGTAATAACAATTTGGACTTTGGTTGGAGTTTAAACACAGTTTTTGAAGTTATGAGGGTCTTTTACATTCTGCACATATTATTTTGCAGTCCTAATACATCTTTACAATTAAAAATTTACAAATTCTAACGGAACAACAAATGTCAACATTTATATGATACATAAAAGTTTCCAAAGATGCATAGGTTTAATTCCACACATACATTCTGGTTACAGGTATACTATGCTTTGTTTACATTCCAGTTTTATTGCATGAATCAATATTACATGTGAAAAACCTTTGTCGATGACTTGTCAAAATTTCACTATATTTTTAAATGTGCTCATGCCAGAACTTACAATGAATATGCAAATTCACTTTTTGTCATAATTTTGACAGTCGAGACGTTTTATTGTGAAAATTTATCAGTTACAACATTTGAATTTATACTATTGATAAATATCTTTCAATTTAAATTGATTACAGTAATTCACACACTGTTTGTGTCTATTTAAAATATATTCAATCTAAATTTTGTGTTTATTCGACAATTTCATGTTTTGGTTGCCGAGAAAAGAATCGATATAAAATTTCCGATTTAATAAAACATAATTATATTATATTCCCATTATATTTGAAAAAACTCATATGAATACCAGAAAACCCGGAAGAAGTAATTGTTATTATTTTTACTCTTCTCAGTTAATAACTAATTTTATTTTTCTCCACACATTACTAGTAACATGACCGACATAAATCCGGTACTTGTTGCGGTGACTGTACCAACAATCACTAACCGTTTTTTCATATACCTCCACATGTCATTAAAAGCCTGAAGTACTACCAATTATTAATTGTTGCTCCGCGAAATGAATGCGAACGTACCCTTTTCATTATGCCTACTGAAATAACTGGACGTGATAATACCTCATACCTTCTTTTCACAGCGATGCTGAATACTTAGTAGGTCGCATACGTCTAGAGAACCTTGTGCGCTTATTGTATTGCGGAGGTTACAAATCACTGCTACCGATATATTGTTGTAGCTGATGCAGCAATACTATAGTCCATCTAAAAATGCTTTAGAGCTGAATGATAGAAGAAGAGGTGGTCTAAAGGCAGGATAATGTCATAGCTAGATCAGATGTTTCCCTTAGCTAGGAATTGTGTCAGTTTTATCATTTATTTTATGTTTTTTTGTGCGAATTGCAACTGATTTTTGCAAAAGAAAGGCGTGAATGTACGAAAAAAATACATTTTTGTGTCTGGTGTTGGTGTCTGGTACTGGTGTTGTTGTTGCTGTTGTTGTTGCTGCTGCTGCTGTTGCTGCTGTTGTTGCTGTTGTTTGTGTCGCTGTTGGTGCTGTCGTCGTCTTTGTTGTTGTTGTTCTCATTGTTGTTGTTGTTGTTGTTGTTGTTGTTGTTGTTATTGTCGTTGTCAATATTGTTGTTATTTGTTGTTGTCGTTGTTGCTACATGCTGTAGTTGTTGTTTCTGCTGCTGCTGCTGTAGTCGTTGTTGTTACTGTGTTGTTCCTGCTGCTGCTGCTGCTGTTGTCGTTGTTGTTACTGTGTTGTTCCTGCTGCTGCTGTTGTCGTTGTTGTTACTGTGTTGTTCCTGCTGCTGCTGCTGCTGTTGTCGTCGTTGTTGTTGTCGTTGTTGTTATTGTTGTTGTTGCTGTTGTCGTTGTTGTTGTTGCTGTTGTCGTTGTTGTTGTTGCTGTTGTCGTTGTTGTTGTTGTTGTTGTTGCTGCTGTTGTCGTTGTTGTTGCTGCTGTTGTCGTTGTGGTTGTTGTTGTTGGTTGTCCTTGTCATTGTCGTCGTCCTTGTCGCTGTCGTTGTCCTTGTCATTGTCGTTGTCCTTGCCGTTTTCCTTGTCCTTGTCGTTGTCCTTGTCCTTGTCTTTGTCGTTGTCGTTGTCCTGGTTCTGGTCCTTGTCCTCGTCCTCGTCGTCGTTGTCGTCGTCGTCGTCGTCGTCGTCGTCGTCGTCGTCGTCGTCGTCGTGGTTGGTGCTGCTGCTGCGGCCGCCGTTATTGTTTTTATTGTTGTCTAAAACCACTTGGATAGATATCGAAAATCAACAAACATCTAAAACACTGAAAGTAACTGTCTGCAAATCCGTTGTTTTTCAACGAATCTTGACGATTTTTTTTAACTTAAAGCTCATAAGCTTTCCGAATATGTAATAATATATCACTATATCACGCGCGTGCGTGGTATATTTCATTTTGCAAAGGTTTAAAAATAAAAAAAACATTTCCAGGTTGCAAATTTAAAATTAAAAAAAAATGATAGATTTCAATGTATTATTATGAAATCTACCAAGAAAAAAATCAATGCGATTGTGGAAGATCCTCGGGATTGTCCAAACTAATAATTAGATAATTTGTTTACCAGGCCATAACTTGTAAAGTATTCAACTTACCGATTCCAGATTTCGTGTAAGTTATTAGACAGGGATAAGGAATGAGAGGATGCGATGACAAAACGTTCTGGTAATAAATAATAACGCAGTTTATAAATGTTTAATTCAAAAGTCATAAATAAACTTCTTCTGTTTATAACTTTTGATCTAATCAATATTTTTCGTTCGAGGGCTAGTTTTGTAGGTCTTTTGAAGAAGAAAAGAAAAGGTACTTTACTGTTTTCTCGTGGAAATGACCGGAAAAAAGTTATAAGCGAAAAACGTGAATTTACGTAAAAATTATACAATTAACCAGACTGTAAACAATCTTCCCCCCATTTTTATGACTGTGGAAACTAATACGTTGTTATTATACATAATATTGAGCATCTATAGTGATAAACTCGCTTGCCGAAACAAAAAGTCGCGAAATGTTCATTTCTCAGCTTATTTTCCTGGCCTAGACACTTTATGGCAAGGCGTTCTAAGGGGAAAACCAGCTGAATCCCCTGAAAAAGGAATACTGAAAAAAAGGCGAACGCTTCGCCAAGCACCGCGATTCGTAATTTCACACCACGCGTCGGCGCGCCGCCTGATTGGAAAAGTGTGCAGGGCGAATACCGGTGGGCACATTAAATGGTATATCGAAGAATCTCCGCATGAAATTATGATGTACTGTGATAGTTGAAACATCGCGGTAGCCGAAGAAAAGGACTCGGCGTAGGCGTATACGTTCCGCGCCGTTTGCTCGCTTAGCGAAACTTACGCCGGATATAAATCTAATTTTTTTTATTGGCGCGAGCCAGTTCGTAGTAAGCTAGACGGCCGTAAATTAATTGGTGAATACCATATTTCTGCGAATCCGGCAATCGATGTTGAACCAGGTGGTGATATATGAATATTATTTCAGCGGAATCGGGCTCTTAGCCGCTGGAGATATAGAGCGGCTATCAGTTCGAGTTGTATTAGATAGAAGCTTGGTTAAACACCACAGTTTTCTATAAATATTTCCTTATTTGGGAAATATCTTTAAAAACTAGCAAATTATCATTTAATGGATATAGTTGCTTCTTATACAAGCGATTCTATCTCTTTTTACAAACTTCTAAAGCGCCAATACAATGCTCGACAGAATTCTTACCATTTCTATGTCTAAATTAGTGTTGCTTAGCCAAAGTGGCTATACAAGCGGTTTTCCATAGCCGCAGAAGAAGTCTGATGAGTATTCGAACAGAAGAATAGATAAGTCTCAGCATAGAGATGTCGAGCTTCAACACCATTACCATTGGCAAGTCCATACACAAAATGCACATCTGCTATTTCTGTATTGTTGTATAATGTCACTATGTATTATTCAATCATTTTTCGACACAAGCTAACAATAAAAATTAAAGTACATTTAAGGAGAATAAATAAGATATGACAAAGGTTTTAATAAAATTGAAAATACTTGCAAAACGGAATGCTGTTCAGAATTTCTAAGCACATATCCTTTTCCATTATTTTTTTTGACACTATTAAACTTACGTTTTTCAGTTAAACAGCAAAAAATTTAAAGGAGCAAAAAAACTTCCAAATTTTTGTAGTGATTTTGAATTTTGGAAAAAAAGACAAATTTTTCATTTTTTTTTAATTTCAAATAAATTTTTCTCGACATTTGAAATATTCGATGTAAAATTGTAAATTAGATAACGCAAACAATTTTGAAAAATTAGATTTTTCCAATGTTTTTTTTTCAAAAATTTTGATTTTTTGTTTGCCTCATGGGCATGTATTGAGCTAAAAAAAAACCTACAAACATTGGTACTTTTCCCAATATTTGCAAAGTAGTCGTTGATTTTCCAAAACTGCAGAAAATTGAAAAGAAAACAAAATGAAACTGATGAATCAGGTTAAATAATCCTGGCATTGATTAAGCCAGTAAAATTTTTGCCTTGCATTATTTTTTTTGAGTGCTGAGAGTGATGGCAAAAAAAAACACTAAAAAAAATTGGAAATGTTTTGCTGAGAGTTGTTTGTTTCAAACACGTTAATATTCAAATTTCAATTCAATTTTTTTCATAATGTAATTTTGAATTGTTCGACAGAAAACTATACAGGGTGTCCCGAAATTCATGGAACAAAATTTGGTCACAGATTCTAAAGACAAATTTAGGGTACCCGTATTTTTTATTTTTGCCAAGTGGCCCCCTTTTCGGAGTTACAGCCCCCTCAAGTCCGCGCCTAAGTATAATCTTTTTTTTATATCTCAGAACCCTGTTGTACGAGAATCACTAAATTTGGTACACAGGGGTTTTATGACATGTGGAATCTGATGGTGTTACGTTTTTTGGCGGGAAACCCCCTTAAGATAATTTTTCGTTGGCCCCCTTGTCTTTGGAGCCAAACAAATTTGGTCGCATATTTAAATTTCTTAAAAAACATCAGTCCACTAGAAAACCATTAAATTTAGAAACTTTTTGTCTCTTTATATTTTTTTGGTAAAATGCAATGTTCTCGAGAAAAATGTCAAAATGTGATCGAATGCCTATCCTGATTCGCCATTTTCCTCAAAAACATTGCGTTTTACGAGACAAAAATTTTTTAAATTCAATGGCTTTCTAGCTAACTAGTAATTTAAAAAAAAAATAAAGACAAGGCGGCCCACGAAAAAGTGTCTTAAGGCGGTTTCTTGCCAAAAAATGTAGCACTGTGAGATTCCACATGTCATAAGACCCCTGTGTACCAAATTTAGTGATTCTCGTACAACATGGTTTTGAGATATAAAAAAGACTTCTTAGGGGCGGACTTCAGGGGGCTGTAACTCCGAAAGAGGGGGCTAGTTGGCATAAAGAAAAAATACGGGTCCCCTAAATTTGTCTTAAGAATCTATGACCAAATTTCGTTGCATGAATTTCGGGACACCCTGTATAGGCAAAAAAATTGTTTGGACTCAAATAATATGAATTTACTCCAATCTTTTGCCCTTTTATTGTTAGGTATTAAAGTTAGTGGCGTATAGAAAGGTTCAAATGTCAATTTTTGTACGAACGTTGGTTCTAACAATATGAAAAAAAAACTTTGTTAGCACCTTTGTTGCGGAAACAATTGACTTTTCCGTTACAGAAATGCGTGATATGGAATATTAGAATAATTGTTGTCCATTTGTGCTCTTATTGATTTGACTCGGACTGACATTTGTCTGGGTTGTGAAACATGTGCCATGCGCCCTGCTACTGCGTGAATTGTGGGTATTTTCGGCACGCTTTCGTCACTCTACAGCATGCTTATGTTATTTTTTCGTCTTATTTTAAGTTTTGTAAGAAATTAACTAGCTTGTTACAGGGGGTGATTTAGTGATCCTAGAAAAACATTGTACTGGTGTTACTATGTCGAATCGAATATATTTTTTCAATATATGCAGATATTAAATCATTTAATAAATTCTCCTCAACCTTTGCAGTCCTTCCACATTCCAGTTTTGACCTAATCGCCCTGTACAGTATGTAAAACGATTTACTATGCCAAGAATTAAAAAAAAATTGTCCACTACATAAAACAACAATAGGAAACGCCAGTATGTTTATTGACTTACCAGCGTAATAAAGTTTATGGGAATTTTTTCAGTTTTAATTGACAATCGATAGTGTAGATAAAATAAAGGTATTAATTCTTGCCATAAAGAGTCTCAGCATTCATAGCTGACCAATGAAAATCCCACTTTTAAAGGCAAGGTGTGAAACGGTAGGACAAGCTGTAGAACTAGATGCTGTATTTTATTTCTCGGTAAGTAAATATTCTATGATTTCAATTCCACACGTCGGATAAATAAATAAACCAATGCAATTTACCTTCAGCTGCATTTTAAGAATGTTTAAATAAAAGATTCTCAATTTATTGAAGGTTGGCAACTGCGCAGATTACTATCTTCACAATTTAGCCACCTAATAGAGAAATGCAGCGTGCGTAAAGTCGTCATTTTACACGTGGTATAAAAAATATTCTTAAGAATGTAAAGCTCACTGAAGCATTTAAGGTAATTGCGATATTTGTCATATCTGATATTTTAATTACCACGTACTTGGGCCGAGAACTTTACGAGGTACTCGCTGCGCGATAATTGAATTGTTTTGACAAAGAACCTTGAATAACTCAGAAACACAACAATATATCGTTTTTTCAATTGTAAAAACTAACACGTACCAAGTTTTACGATTTAAATAGCAGATACACATCATATTACGCTTTGATGTCTATTCTTACTCTCTGTGAATTACTATAATGTAAATACAAACAATTATTTATAATTACCACATTCACATAGAAAGAAACGAAGCTTTTACACACGACAGTCTGTTATTGTGATTTAAAATGTAAGTTTAACCATTCATTTTATAGCCTGCTTATCTACTTCCTTAAAGATAAACTTGAACAAATAGTGAATGTAAGCGATTATTATAGGCTGATGCGAATAAAGATAAGAATTGTTAATAAAACCCAACCAATGATCATTAAATAAATTAAACCAATAAGAAACAAATGAGTATTCAATGAACTGAAATGGAATAATGTAATAATAAGAGTGTTATGAATAAATAAGTCAAACAATTCCTTTAAGGATCCTTGCAAACAATTTCTGTTATTTAGTGGCTTTTCCTCGTATTTC